TGTTGCCCTGGATGTGCTCACCAAGTTGTGCCAAGAAATCTGGAGAACAACCACTTGGCCAACTGACTGGAAGAGATCTATATTTGTTCCTGTTCCAAAGAAAGGTGACCCAACTGAGTGTGGTGTTATACGTTAGCATTGGAAAATCTGAAGAATTAGTAAGGCAGTTTCATTTCAGTAACATCTAAAATAAAATATTTTGGGATAATCTAACCAGGGAAATGGAAGACTTTTAAAATGAAATTTCTTAAAACACTGCTGAGAGAGGTTACAGAAGACCTAAATAATGGAAAGATGCTCTGAGTTCTTGAGTTGGAAGACTTAATCAAAGTAAGCTATAAATTTAACTCAGTCCCAATTAAAATGCCAACAGCCTTCTTTACAGAAATGGAAAAACCAGTTCTCAGTGTTAGAAGGAGTGGCAAAAGACCCTAAATTGGTAAAACAATGTTAAAAGGTCAAATCACATTTTCTAATTTTAAAACATAATATGCAACCTCAGTAATCAAAATAGTCTGATACTGGAATAACAGTAGACATGTAGGCCAATGGAATAGAATCGAAAATACTGAAATAAACCCTCATGTCTGTGGTCATTGTTTTCTACAAGGGTGCTAAGTTCATTTAATGGTAAAACAAGAATTGTTCCAATACACTGTATTGGAAAAACTAGATTTCCACATGCAGAAAACAGGATCCATATGTCACACAATACACATACAAAAAAATTAAAAATGGATTTTTGTTGTTGTTGTGTACTGTAGCTCATAACTGATCCATAGCTGACTCTCAGAGGGTTTTCGGAGAGTGTAAATCACACAGGAGATGGTCCATCTTTCTCCCATGAAGCAGCGGGTGGATTTGAACTTTTGCATTGGCAGTGCAGTTTCATTACCACTAACCAACCAGAGCTCTACAAATGGATTAAGCACCTAAATGGAATTAAAACCTAAATGAATTTAAATCAAAAGCTTACATTCGTAGAAGAAAATGCAGAAGCACCATTGTTAGGCCTACCTTTTAACAACAGATTCTATAACAACAACAAGCAAAAGACAAAATAGGGGCCTCATAAAAATTAAAAAATTTTGTTCATTAAGAGCTTTTAGAAGAAAGGTGAGAAGATACCAACAGGAAGAAAAGCTTTAGAAACTATAAATCCAACAAGAACCTAATAAGCAAAATATATATGAAACTTACACAGCTGCACAACAGGAAAAGATCATCTCATTATAAAGTGGGCAAAGGACTTAGACATTTCATGGAAGAAGACATTCTAGGAGCCACCAAATACATGAAAAGATGCTTAATGTTATTAGCCATCAGAGAGATACAAATCCCAACACATTGGGTGGCATACCATTTCATGCCCTCTAGCTAATGCAATAGCTAAAGGCACTCAGCTGTTATTTTGAAAGGTTGACACTTCAAACCCACCCACTGCTTTATGGGCTAGATGTGCCTATCTACATTCATAAAGATTTACAGCCTAATCCTATTGGATAGTTCTCTGTCCTGGAGGGTTGCTGTGGGATTAGAAAATAACAAATAATGCCAGGGATGTGGGGAAATTGGAATCCCTATTTATTGTTGAGGGAACTATAAAATGCTACAGCAGTTGTGGAAAACAATGGAACAGTTCCTAAGAATCCTAAAAATATATAGACTTACCATATACCCACCAGTTCTGCTTCCTAGATACTTATTCTGGAGACTTAAAAACAGACTCAAATAGAGCATTACTCATAGTAGATAGAAACAATCAAAGTGCCAGCCAACAGATAAGTGTATAAATAGAATGATACATGCATAAAATGGAATACAACTCAGCCAGCAGGAGAAATCAGGTCCTGATACATTCTCTAATGCAGATGAGGCCTGAAGATTCTGAGTAAAATGTCACCCACTGAAGGGCAAATATTGTTTGATCTTGTTTATGAAAAAAGGACAAGAAAAGGCACATATTTAGATAATAAAAGTTTATTAATGGTACCAGAGGAAGACGAAAGAGGGAAAATGGGAGTTAATAGTTAATGATGATGGGGGAAATACCACTGATTTAAGGATATATTAGCACAGGCAGTTAGTGAAATTGCTGTTAAAAAGGTGTACACCATAAAAGTTAAGCCAGAAGAACTTGTGTGATAGCTATTTGTAAGCCTCAAGACTGTGGCCTTTTATCACCCTTTAAGTTAAGAATTGAACTCTTCCTCCATAGCATAACATTCAACAAATAATAGATAAGTCTATAAGATAAACAATAACTTTAGGGAGGTAGACTTTCCTTAGAAGATCAACCATTCAAGACTAAAGGAGACAAAGTTCAGAAGGCAAGAGGGGATAGGAAAGAGGCGAATGAAAGTAGAAAACATCAGGAGGAAGTAGAATGCTACATTGTGAGGATTGTGGTAAAAACGGCATGAAACAAAAATGTGAATTAATTGTTGAAAACCTGTTTGTTCTATGTCTATCTTCACCTAAATCACAATGCATCGTTTTGTTTTTTAAAGACTAGTTCCAAAAACCACATGGAATTGGGTTTCTTGATGTAAAAGTTCAAGGTTATGGTTTCATGGGATATCCCTTCTGTTCTTCCTCCTTGTCATTGCATAATGTTGAAGTCTTAGAAAGCTTGTAAGCAGCCATCCAAGGCACAACTATTGGTCTGTTTGCCTAGAGTAATAGAGGAAGAAGGAAAGTCAGCTGGGAATTATAAGAGACTGTGGAATGTGTAATTGACTCCATGCACAACTGCCCCCTTTGCCATGAGACCAGAAGAACTGTGTGGTGCTTGACTTCTATTATGGAACCTTTTGATTAAAGGGGGGGGGGGGAATGAAGAAAAGAATGACAGATTTTCATGAACTACTAATATATTTTACAGTGAGCAGAGGCACATGGAAATTTCGGGAGCTATGAAACTAGAACTGTGTTCAAAGTGACAACAACTTTAAAGATTGAATAAGAACTTTAGTAAACAGTGACTTTATGGTAGTAAAGACCAACTCAAAAGGAAAGTGAAATGGTGAAAGAGTAATCAGTTTCACTGAATTACACATGCAGTTGAATTTATGTGTGTTTTGCAGTGTATATTCTCAAAAACAGCAACAAAACAGAATTTTCTTTTAAGAAAGGTGTTACTAATAGAACATAACTTAGCTCCTGCTAGCTAAGATCCTTTTTACAGCAAGAGACACATGGAAATTGTTGAAAAATAAGAATTTTTTTTCATTTGTTAAGAATGTTATTTTTATTAATTTTAACATGTCAGGCTTGCTGAATGAGATACATATATATATACACATGTGTGTGTGTGTGTGTACATGCATACATATATATGTGTGTGTATATATGTATGAGGGATATATCTGCAGAATGAGATATATACATAGAATCCAGAAGTAGTGGGCTGTTCTTTAAAACAAGACAAATATGTCATCTTTTGCAGATCTGCCATCCTTTGGGCGTGTGAGAGAGTCATTACCTGTCAAGTACCACCTACAGAATAAGACTACTTTAGTGCAAGATGTGGAGATATCTGTGGAACCTAGTGATGCCTTCATGTTCTCAGGTCTTAAACAGGTACGTGGAGTCATTTATGTAGATGCAGAGTCTAGCCAGAAAATTGAGAAATAACCATGTTTTGTATGTGTAACTGAGTAAGACTGATTGTGGTGCCTTTTATTTTGATAATTGGTATCTACTCAACTTCAGAATATTAAATACAGCTTCTTTCAAGGTAAATTAAATAGGCAGCTCTTTTCATTGTTCATCTCATTGTTATTAGATGAGACTTTACACCCTCTAGAAATTTTTTTTTAAATTGCCTATGCTTGAAATCATATTAAAATTATGATAAAAATCTAGAAACTTTTCTAAATATTAATTTGTGGCCTGGAGGTATTGCTCTATGAATAGTAAAGCCTATCTGCTTTTCTCCTGAACGATCAATGAGAATTTTTTTTCAAAGATCTTAATTCTGCATAAAATTTACATATATTTAGTTTGAAGAAAGGAACTCTTTGGCAAGTCTATGGGAAGTTGCACTGTTAACACAAAGGCCAAGCCTCTGTTAGTTCAAATTCCCCAGCAACTCCTTGGGAGAAATGTGGAGCAATCTCCTCTCATGCAGTTTACAGCCTCAGAACCCAGTGAAGGGGCAGCTATAGGCTCTTCCAACTCTACAGCAATGTGTTTGCGTTTGGGTGCTCAGTTATACTATGACTCATAGTTAGGCACTTGGCTGCTAACTGCAAGTTCAGACAGCACTTCCAACCCACCAGCCACTCTGTAAGAGAAGGATGTGGGATCCACCGCCACAAAGATTTACACCCTTGGAAGCCTTACGGGTCAATTCTGTTCTGTCCTATAGGATCCCTGTGGGTTGGAATTGGCTGGAGGGCAATGGATTTTTTTTATCCTTCTGCTTAAATCAGAAGTCGAAGAGTTCACCACGTTTTTAGTGGGTACCTAACATGCTCAGGTAAAACCTGAGAACTGTCCTACATTGTCAGGGTGGTAGAAGAGGTACCGTTCAGTAATCAGCTGATACTTTCTATTAACAAAGGCACAGAGGAACAAACCTGTCTTAAGAATTAGAAGTATTTATTTATCTGATTAATCAGCTATACTATGTCCTTCTATTCTGAGGGCTATTTTTGTTGTTAAATGAAAAATAGAAGTGTATGTGAAATACAAATATCCATATTAATATCTTTAATATTAATATTTTTAATTTAGGATCTATTTTATTGATTGTTGTTCTTATTGTTGTTGTTGATTGTTGCCCTCAAGTCAAGCTCAGCTCATAGCGACCCTATGAACAAAAGGCCTGAACCCCCTATACAACTTTTTTTATCAAAGTTCATAGTTTCTGGAGGCTTATTATTTAGGATGTGGATGCCACTCCTGCTTCCAAAATTTTATTGATTATTCTAGCATTATATAATTAATAAGTATACATATTCATATTTTGATAAATCATTTTTTATATATACTTATTTGCAAATGAGTAGGCCTTTCTTGAGTCTTTGATACATAATTAGGAAATATAAAGATAACAAAATCTTGGTTTATGTTCTTTGCTAAAGTATTGCCAAAGGTTTTAAAACTTTTTTTTTGCCCTAAAGTTAACTTAATCTTGTTGTTGTTGTTATTGTTATGGTCCATTGAGTTGAAACCAACTCATAGCTGATTCTCCAGTGGGTTTTCAAAGGCTATAAATAACATGGGAGGAGACCGTCCAGAGCAGCTGGTGAAGTAGAACCATGTGGATTGGCAGTGCAACTCATTACCGTTAAGCCCCCATAGGTCCTTTAATATACAACAAAATTTCTCAAAGAAAACACAGGAAATAACTAGTTCGTATTGTGTTGATGTGGTATTTAGAAATATATGCCATAACATATTGTAGATTTGAAATCTATCTGCACTAAGACGTAGAAAATGCTGAATTCATGGTTTTCTCACTCTTAAAACTAGTACAAAATGCCTTTTAGATAGTGGTAGAAACCAGTCAATCAGATATACATTATTTATACTTATAAGCTGCCTGACCTGAGCCTTGTGCTAAGAGATAAAATAGAAAAAAAAATTAATATGTTACTAGTAGGATTTAGAAGTCATTACGCTATAACACCAGGTGGATTTTGGAAATAATGTACGCATGATCATCTTTTTCTATATCGTTTAGATTCGATTACGTATCCTGCCTGGCACTGAACAGGAAATGCTGTATAATTTCTATCCTCTAATGGCTGGGTACCAGCAGTTGCCATTTCTCAACATCAACTTGCTTAGATTTCCCAACTTCACCAATCAACTGTTGAGGCGTTTTATACCTACCAGTATTTTTGTAAAGGTGAGCTCTAGAAATGTTCGGCTTTTTAAATGTAGTATCTTAAAAAATAAACAAAAGACTCTCTTTTATTTGAACTTTATTAATAGTTTCAAAGTAGCTAGGGTAATTTTGACTTATTTTGTCAATATTGAATGATACTCTTTTTTTTTTTTTCTAAATTTACTATCATTTTGTTGAATCTCATTTTAAAGACCTTTTATTCCTGTAGATAGGCAATAATTTGTGTTCATTGTGGTCCCTGGCTGTTACAGTTAATATTCTATTTGCTAACTAAAAGGTTGGAAGTTTGAGTCTTTCCTGAGTGCTATGACCACCTTCTTCTTAATGCTGGTACCATGTTTCAGTAACTTCACTGTAAACAAGAAAGTTGACTGGAATCCTCAGAACTTTCTCTTTTACTGGAGAAACTTTTTTTTCTCTCTTCTTATACTGAATAAGATAAAGGAAAATTCTTCCCCATTTACTGAACAGTGACTGACTAATATTTCTTATTCTGCCACACCTTTATTGAATTTTTGAGCTGTGCTGTCAGTGGTAGTAGTCAGAGCCACCTATAGCTCAGCTGCATTCCCTGCCATCGAGTCAATTCCAAGTCCCGATCAGCTTTCCAAAACTGAAAATCTGTTTAATGGGAGGAGATGGACTTTCTTAACTCCCATGGAGCTACAGGTGAATTTGAACTGCCAGAGATTCGAGACCTTATGATTAATGCAGCCCCCTATGGACTGTACCACCAGAGTGCTTTACGTGTGGCTACTGAGGTTTTATTAAGATTAAATAAAATATAAAAATTAGTTCACCAGTGCTAGGTGCATTTGATAAGAGGCTAGAGGTTCCTGTATAGGACATTGTGGATATAGGATATTTTCATCTTCACAAACAGTTCTGTTGGGCAGTCCTATTCTAGAGCAAGGTTAGGGTCAGTATTTTCTTCTCAATTATAGAATTCCATTCCTAATTGCGTGATATACTCAATTTTGCTCCTACTCATAAAACTGTATTATAAAAGAAATTCATTCTAAAACTGAATGACCTCCATTATTATATTATGCTAATATTCTAGAATAGTATTATTATAATAGATTGTAATGTCCTCCATTAGTACCAAAACCCCACAAATTTTAAAAGACTGGGAGCCTATTTTTCATTAATTCCATTTCCACTCTGAATGTCAGAGACTGTGCCCTCCATGTAAATATATATGCATACACACACATAGATGCACAGAGAACTAAAAATAGGGGATATTTTCTTCATGTCTTGAAAATATATTCCAGGAATAATTTTACTCAAAGCATAGCAAATTTTGTTTTTCAAGTTGTAACACCATTCAGTTCAATTTCTTAGTTACCATTGATCTTTCCTCCAAAATCTCCAGTGGCTATTATACATTTATATAATAAAATTGTTTTCAAGAAATTAATTCTTTATATACTAGACATCTCTGGAATATTGCTAAATTGTTCGAAATTTTACATCTAAAGAGTAGTATGTGACCTTGACTATTATGATATGATCTTGAACTTTTTTCAGTCAGTGAACTTAGAGAAAGAGAAATTTTTCTTTTAATCTGCTTCTCTCTTTGTCACGGTTACCATTATGTGTACCTTAAGAGTCCATTTGGAATCAGTTATTCTTAGAAAGCCTTAAAACCCTTAAAAGAAACTTTACATTCCGCTTTTTTGGCATATTTACAACTTGACCTTTAGTAGGGTGCCAGGCAAGAGAATTACACTTTCTCAGTTAAGCTGGGATAGTGAATAGATGAGTAGCAGTGGCTAGAACACGAAAGCTAAGAGACATGGGAATGGAATCTTGAAGTTCATGTCCTGAGTGATGTCTGCCATTGGTGTCAGAGGAAACAGTGGCAGCCCCCTGCTATCTAGGGCCAGCCCCTGGTGAAAATGAAGAGCATGAAGAGGAAAAAGAACAATTACTTGTATTTTGGTGCTTGCACACACTTCCTTTATGTAAAACATATCCAAGAATTTTAAAACTCTTCTAGTTAATAGGACTTTCTTTTCTTTCTGTCATTATCACTTTGTTAACTCATATTTCTTTCCCCACAAAGCCACAGGGTCGACTTGTGGATGATGAGAACTCGATTGCTGCTGCCTGACTCTCAGGACTGAGCGAGCGTGGCTGTCCTTAAAATTGAGCAGAGCTGTGTAGGTTTTTCCATTGTGAATGATAACTTTGATCATGGTAAAAAATTAATTTTTTTCTATTTTTTAATGAATATTATACCACCTATTCAGAGGAACTCATGCTTTAAATATTAGGGAAAAAAAATCTTCCCTCATATTTTCATGAATAAATATGTGGAATCTGTCATGGCTACAAGAAAAAAAA